ACCAATTTACAGGTGAGATCTGTGAAGAGGCGACCCCACTCACAGTCAGAATGCAGGTATTTACGTACAATAATCACACCCACAACTGAATAAATGTCTCTTATATAAGTTTAATATGATATTGTGGAACATTACAGGCATTATACAGAATTCAAATACAACCTTAATTTAAGGCCTTAATATAGGAACATGACATTTAAGACTTTCAAGACCCCGCGGCTACCCTGGTTATGTTTTGAAAGATTTTTGAGGTCTGGAGTGAATTAATTATGCATTAAATTTAGTTTGATTGTATTTCTGTAAAAGGGGTTAGTATATGGAACAATCTGAGTGATGATTTTAAAAAGTCTAACACTGTAGAAGATGTAGAAGATTTAGTTTGATTTATATTTTGTCTCTTACATATACAGTAAGTTGTAAGTTGAATTATAAATGCAAACTTGCTGTTCATACACTGTTTTTCTTCTTAGAATTTTGTCATTGTTTAATAGGATTTGGATTTAAAAGTACTTTTTACTTCAGCCTAAACCCTTTCGGTCATGATCCATTAGGTTGTAGTTCATGTTTTGTTTTGTTTTGTAGTGCTCCAAAATGACAGAATAAAAACTACTTTAAAAAAAACATTACAGGCATCCATGGTGACGGACCCCCAACCAGAAAAGTTACACAGTGCGCCTTTAAATAAATAAAATAAAATAAAAAACGGCGCTCGTAAAATGTACCGCGGTCTCAAACTCATAGACAGACTCGTTCTTCACGGCAATTAGGAGCAGAGGGCTTGTATGTAAAGGGAGGAGGGGGGAATTCTGTTTGGGGAAAAAAAAGGGGGAGAAAAAGACAAGAAAAAAGCTTAAGTCAGCAGCGGCTATAAATCCAGTGATGCTGAGCGCTTTTTTCCACCACCATGTCCTCATCTCATCTGTGGAGCCCATTTCGGAGTTCTGTTTAGTAGCTTTAGCAGCGGGGAGGCGAACGCTACACCCCGCCTGATCCGTATCCAGAAAGACGACACTTCCCATTCGCTCAATGGATTTAGATGACAGAGAAGATGAGGGGTAATAGAAGAGTGGAAATGGATGTAATCATTTTTATTATGTTTTTATAAAGAATATTTTGGAGGATTGAGATAATATTCAGTAAAGTCTCTAAAGTATGGTATGAATGCTATTAATTCAGCCACCACTTGCCTCAAATGGAAATTAAAGGTCCTGTATTACGCAAAATTGACTCTTATGAGCTTTAGGACATGTTGTAATGTTATTACCTCGTCAAAAAGGCTGTTAGGATGCTGAACTCTCTCTCCCCTCTCTAACCACCAGGCGGCCAGGAAGCTAGGAATCTGTGTGTCCTTAAAGAAGAACTTTGGACTTTTACTTTTATTATTTAATTTTGAAGATTAAGATTGAGAACATAATTTCAATTTTTCGTATGTTCTTTTGGAAATTTGACTATAATCTTTTTGAAATGAATTGAACTGAATTGAAAAACAGTTGCGTTTTCTTTGAGTAATTCTGGATTATTAGTCTATCTGTACCAAACATCAAAATTCTCTGTTCCAACTTGTGATGTAGTGCAGTGGTTGTTTTTAAGTTAACAACTACGTTTTACCTTTAGTTCAGTAGAAATGGGCAGTTCCAGAGCTGATAACAACATCCAAATGATTCAAGTGAAAGTGTAGGAAGTTTAAAAACACATTGGAGCACTTCCTGTATTACATGACATCACAAGGTGGAACAGAGTGTTTTCTGTTTGAGAGAAGAACTAATTACAAATGAGGAGTACTGTAAACAAATAAAGTGCAATAGTTTTAGTGCAGTTATGTCGTCCCTTCAGAAAGAGATAAAACATTGACTTATGCTGCGTTTTATTGAAGTCGATAAATCCGAGTCAGTTCTCTCGACATTCGTTGTAAATACGTTACATTGCAACAGTTGGGGGAAATATGGACGCCCGAGAAAGTTTAATGTCCAACCAACTTGGAATTTGGCATTATAGAACCCTGTCAGAACTGAAGAAGCTACTTGGATGAATTGGCGAAACTTATTTACTGTAAGAAAACTTTTGTCCAGTTTTCAGCTTTTATTTTTCCATTGTGATTTCATTTATTTACTCAATTATACTTTGTAACTCTGGATGGAAACTAATAGTTGTTTGTTCATCAATAATCACTGTAGAAGAAACGCTGATCCATCCAGAAGTCATTTTAAGTCCAAAGGCGCTGGTCTGAGGAGCTCAAAGTTAAACTGCCCACAGGGAAGGAAAGGTAGATTTACTGTACGAAGCTATAAATTCCAGATGGCATCCAAACATCTCAATCTCAAAAACACTGTCCAGATGAGTACTTTAATCTTTTTCTATCATTCCTGGAAGAATAAAGGATTATATAGACCAATAAAGAATAATAAAAGAATACTCAGTCCAGTTCAAAAATGTGGTGGACTTGAAAGTACTTATACTTGCTCTCAAATGTAGTGAAGTAAAAGTGAAAGATATCCATTATAATGTATTCTAGTAAAGTACAGATACTAACTTTTTTTTAACTTAAAGGTGCACTGTGTAAATGAAGGGTCCTTCAAATGCTTTTCTGTATGGAGATGTTATTGCTTAGTCTGGAACTAAGTTTAACAGGATGGTATTAAACTTTTCTATCTTCATGAAAACCAAACCAGACCAAGTAACAGGTCAGACTCCACTCACAGTTAGAATGTCAGTTTTTGTAGGTATTTTTGAGCTATAAAACCACCTCTAATTTAATAAATGTAATGTAGAGAGTGGAGGAGTTCAAGTATCTCGGGGTCTTGTTCACGAGTGAGGGGAGGACGGAGCGTGAGTTTGACAGGTGGATCGGTGCAGCGTTGGCAGTGATGTGGTCGCTGTATCAGACCGTTGTGGTGAAGAGGGAGCTGAGTCGAAAGGCAAAGCTCTGGATTTTTAAGTTCCTCCCATCACCTCTGGTCATGAGCTCTGGGGATTGACCAAAAGAACAAGATCATGGCTACAAGCAGCTGAAATGAGTTTCCTCCACAGAGTGGCTGGGCGCTCCCTTAGAGATAGGGTGAGGATCTTGGAGTAGAGCCGCTGCTCCTCTACATCGAGAGAAGCCAACTGAGGGGAGGACATCTGTTCCGGATGCTTCCTTCCTCCCAACAGGAGGCCCCGGGGAAGACCCAGGACACACTGGAGGGACTATGTCTCTCGGCTGGCCTGGGAACGCCTTGGGATCCACCTGGAGGAGCTGGAGGAGGTGTCTGGGGTGAAGGAAGTCTGGGAGTCCCTGCTTAGACTACATTTATATGATGAACAGAAGACGCAAAAGTGGCGTTGCGTCTTCACTTTTTACTTTGCATTTAGATGAGCGTTTTCGGGAGGAAATCTGCGTGCATACAGTGATGCAAAAGTGTGTGGAATTCAATTGTGTTTTCATGCCAGGCAGCTCGATGGTGACGCTAGGTGGTGATGTATGTGACGTAAACGCGTACACAACCTGAGCAGATCTGACCAGAGTTTTGCACCTTGGGCAGTGTAGAAGGAAAGTCTATGGCAAAGCATATTCAACTTTTCCACCCCGGAGAGTGGTTTCAGATTTTTGCGTTTTTAAGCCCCAAAAACACCGTCACCGTGTAAACGAAAGGCACTTCTGATCAAATATTTTGTCGTTTTTACCCACAAGCGGGCAATGACATACCCACAGAAACAAGCATGGAACAGACCACCAAACAAAACATTACACAGTGCACTTTTACTTAGTTAAATTACGTCATTGTAATAAGTAACGTTCACTGAATTAGATCAATGAGAAAGAGTGTTATTAAAAGTCACGCTGTAGCTGCCTGTAATCATTCGCCATCACCTTTAACAAAACACCCGATACTTGAGACATGGACAAACACATAATTCAGGGCATAGAGGAGACCTGCTCTTAACACAACCTTTTAACGTACTGAAGATGCAGTCCATTGATTCCCATTTCGATCATGTTCACAGGGACAAGGACAATAGACCAATTAAAGGGTTGGCGTGGCTATAACATACATCTTCTGAGCTGTTTCTTTAGTTTGACCACAGACTGACCCTGGTATCAGCTCTCCTCTCACTCACGCAGACTGCAGGAATCAATATAGCTCTGTGTTATTATGATGAAGGATGGTCCCGGCTAATTCATATTCATGCTTTTATGGCCTGGCGATAAGTGAAAAGTGAAATGGCTGTTCAGAAGTGAAGAGACATGAGTTTTAATTTAGACGATTTATAATTAGGGAGAAGGTTCCTTGCTAACACTGCCCAAGATGTTAAAGAGTTATTTCAAGATCAGGTGGGGACAAAACGGGCTCATTTGCTTTAAATCAACGGACGTGAAAGCAGAGATTACAAGACAAAAGGTGATGAAAGGACACTTGGAGGAAGGACAATGAAAAATCACAGACGTCTGACGGAGAAAAATTATCTTTCGTTTATCTTACTAACAGAGCAATGGAAAGGAAGATTGTAATTGGCTGCAAATCAACGCTTTTTGTCTCGAAACTCGCGTCCAAGTTTAAAGTGCCTGTGACAGTTGGACTACTTATTTTACTAAACCACAATTAAGATCATTCTATTTAAGATTTTGCTAAAAATATTACAGTTTTTTTTCCCAGGACTATGTATAAAATGTTGTTTACTGGTTTGAAATTGTCACACTAAGGAATTACGACGCAATCACTGAGCCAAAACTCATCGAATGTACACAGAGATTAATATTTCACAAGTAAAAATATAAGAAAACCACTTTATTTAGTTGAAATTATGTTTAAAATATCAGAAAAATGTGTTGTACTCTCTCGTCTTCATGTAATATCAACATGTTTTTCAGCTTTTCTTCACAAATTTCTTCTTGATTGGTGTAAAACTCAAAATCATTTATATTTACAACAAGTATAATCTCACCAAATTAAATCCAAATTAGAGCATGATCAAAACATGTCATACGCACTTTTAAGACTCCCAAAAAGTGGCTCACTCACCGTCTCGTTTCCAAACAGGATGTCCACGTAGGGCATCACCTTCATGAGAGGCTCCTTGAAGAACTGACTGATGAACGGAGCGGACAGGTTCAGACCAAAGATCTTGTTGTTCTCGGAGGCGTGTTTGGCCACTTTGAGGATGGAGTCAGGAGAGACGGTCAGGAAGAAGCCCTGAGGACAAGAATAAAAACACGAATCAACAACTTAGACCATAAAACATTGTTCAAAGAGCGATTAGTCATTTGGACAGATCTGATTTGTCCTGTCAGATTCACTACTGGATATTTTAAAGATGTGTCTTTACTGACGGAGGGTCCACCACCTGCTCGTCTCCATGGAGATGGTTGTTGCTATGATTGGAAAGTTCTACAGCAGGGTCCCCAACACCCGGGCCGTGGACCAGTACCGGACTGCAAAAGTGCGAACCCCCCCTCCCATACGCCGCGTGGACCGTGCCTCCTCCCGTGTTTCCCGCGCCTCTAAACCAGAACTAAAACCAGGACTAAAACCAAGACTAAACCAGGACTAAAATCAGTTCTAAAATAGGTCTAAAATAGGTCTAAACCAGGACTAAACCAGGACTAAACCAGAACTAAACCAGTTGCGTGGACCGCGTCTTCTCCCATGTTTCCCACGCCTCTAAACCAGAACTAAAATCCACGACTAAACCAGGACTAAAACCAGGACAAAAACTAGTACTGAACTAGGACTAAAATCAATTCTAAACCATTTCTAAACCAGGTCTAAAACCAAGACTAAAACATGTCGCTCAGACTGCGTCTCTTCCCATGTTTCCCACACCTCGAAATTAGAACTAAAACCAAGACTAAACCAGAACTAAACCAGAACTAAAGCCAGGACTGATCCAGGACTAAAATCAGTTCTAAACCATTTCTAAACCAGGACTAAAACATGTCACTCGGACTGCGTCTCTTCCCATGTTTCCTGCACCTCTAAATCAGAACTAAAACTAAGAACTAAACCAGAACTAAAGCCAGGACTAAACCAGGACTAAAATCTGTTCTAAACCAGGTCTAAAACCAGGACTAAACTAGATCTAAACTAAGTCTAAACTAAAGGACTAAAACAGGTTGCGTGAACCACATCTCCTCCTGTGTTTCCCGTGCGTCTAAACCAGGACTAAAACCAGGACTAAACCAAGACTAAACCAGGACTAAAATCAGTTCTAAAATAGGTCTAAACCAGGACTAAACCAGGACTAAAACCAGGACAAAAACTAGTACTGAACCAGGACTAAAATCAGTTCTAAACCATTTCTAAACCAGGTCTAAAACCAGGACTAAAACATGTCGCTCAGACTGCGTCTCTTCCCATGTTTCCCACACCTCAAAATTAGAACTAAAACCAAGACTAAACCAGAACTAAACCCAGGACTAAAATCAGTTCTAATCAGTTCTAAACCATTTCTAAACCAGGACTAAAACATGTCGCTCAGACTGCGTTTCTTCCCATGTTTCCTGCACCTCTAAATCAGAACTAAAACTAAGAACTAAATCAGAACTAAAGCCAGGACTAAAATCTGTTCTAAACCAGGTCTAAAACCAGGACTAAACTAGATCTAAACTAGATCTAAACTAAGTCTAAACTAAAGGACTAAAACAGGTCGGGTGAACCACATCTCCTCCTGTGTTTCCCGTGCGTCTAAACCAGAACTAAACCAGGACTAAACCAGAACTAAAACCATGACTAAAACTATGACTAAACCAGGACTAAAATCAGTTCTAAACCAGGTCTAAAACCAGGACTACACTGTTATGCGAGTAGGGTCCCCTCTCCACAGATATGACCTGTAACGTGGCACAATACAGTGTGAACATTCCAGGTAAAGCAACATCATCTCCACGGAGACGAGCAGGCGGCAGACCCTCTGTCTGAAAAGTTACACAGTGCTCTTCATTTTAGAGGCAATCCCAAACTGAATAAAAAGTCTAAAAAAGTTATTACGCTTCCTCTGAACCTCTGAAAGTGACAATGTTGTGAATTATTTTCAGTCTTCTCCATCTTAGACAAACTTTATGGATCCATAAGGGAAATTATTTGGACACAGCAGCTCACACATCACAATATAATACAAAAACAAAGACTAAAAAAGTATAAATGGTAATAATACATTCTAAATATGTATCAAAAAAGAGCGAGGCACTGTTGTAAGAGCAGTCTGAATAAAATTGACACATTGAGCATAATTTACAACCAAGAAGTAAAAAATTAAACCTAAAAATATTACAAAACCAGGAATAAAACGCTCACATTTTTAGATAAACCTTAAATATAAAGGGTGTTAGTAAAATCAGTAGAATAACTTGTTCAAGGTTAAGCACTAAGTCTTCTCCAGTCTTAAATTTTAACAGCTGTTTTGAATAACATGGACACATCGAACGTCATTTCTCAACTTTGACAGCACAAGAATCGGAAACCTTCTTGCTGATCATTTGTCTTTGGGTTTTGGGACAATACCAGGTTCAGTGCAGCTTACGGAGCCAAGGCTAAACCAGAACTATTTACCTGTAACAGTTTCTCACAGCTACAAAAAGGGGAAAACTGGACCACGGACAAAGCTGGTGGCTCGGCTCCAAGACTCGTTCGGAGGGGGGGAGACTCGCGCACGTATCCGATGATGGCCCCAACAAAAGTCTGGCCCGGACTCTCCTTACCGCGAAACAAGAGAGCTGGGCTGTTCATTGTGCTCGCGAATACAAATCAGGTAAGAAAACACCTTAGCGGCTCAGGTAGAAACATAACGCGACAGTGACAAAACCCACCCCCGCCCCCCCGTCTTTGATACCGATCTTCTTGTTTGGCAGAAGCGATAGGTCTGTTTTGTTAAAGCATAGTGGGACAATAACGCGCAAGTGAAAAGGGGGTAAAGGAAAGTTTGCGTGGTGATACGTTTAATCTGTCTGAAAAGGTCCCATTGTGTGGTCTCATTAAAGAGCTATGACATGTGCAGCAGATGAAGAGCGACGCAACGGGGGCACGACGAAGAGACAGTCAGTCAAACTACAGGTGTGAGATACGCACCCGCCGCGGGGATACCAGAAGAGGGGCTTTTGTACGGGCCGTCTGAATGAATGTATGTAAACTGAGGGGGAAACTAGGGTGGCCGGCAAGTGCGGAACACTTTTACATTTCACAACACATGAACAAGCTTGAAAACAAAACAAAAATAAATTAAACTACATTAAAAACACACATTTACATCTTGAAAACGAATTTACGCTTCATAAAACCCATTTGCAAATGAGCAAACAAATTTACAAAACATTAAACATTTGTACAAGCGCAGAGACAAAAACACAAACACTCCTGAAACACAAAGACCTTTGAACAACGGCCTAACCCTAATCCTAACCCTTACGTAACTTCCAGGTAATGCTTTTGGCAAAATATCTGTGGAAATGTCTGGCGAATTTTCCACCAGCTTCATAAATCTGCCCCATCACCAAATCTTCATCCAACAATGTCGACAAAGGATAAACATTTTTCCAGGAACAATTTATCCACAACTATCAAGGTAAGAAAGACAAAAGCTTAAAGGTGAACGACGACGACACATTAGGCTACGTTCAGACTGCAGGGCTTAACGCTCAATTCCGATTTTTTTGTGAAATCCGATGTTTTTGCGAGGTCGTTCACATTTCCAATTAAATGTGACTTGTATGTGACTCCAGTTTGAACAGTAAACGGCCCGAAAGTGTCCCGCATGTGCACTGGAGACACGATGACGTCAACCGCAGCGAGCGTGCTCTGTGTTTACATGGACGCGAGCATTGAGCACCTGAAGATTTTAAAGTTCCTCTCGTACCGGAGCCGTACGTTGACAGTCCGTTGAAAGGAACGTGTGGATGTGGAGACGTAGCCAAGAGTGGTGAGTGGCGATGTGCTTCACTTCAGTGACACAGAGTTCATTAACAATTTTCGCCTACTTCAGCGCAAAATAGTGACATTTGTAGTTTGTTGATAACGTGTAGGTCGAATGAATGCGCTTTGGCCGTTAAGACTGAAGGCGCATGTCAAAAGATCAGATATGTATCGGTTTCAGGAGCACATATCCAAGTGGCCTGGGTCGCATTTGAAAAAATCTGATCCGTGTCGTTCAGACTGTCATTAAAAGATCAGATACAGGTCACATAGGGGCCAAAAAAATCAGATTTGGGTCACTTCAGGCTGCAGTCTGAACGCAGCCTTAGTGAACTACTCCTGAGCAAAACTAACATTATGGTCATTTCCGCTCTTTAGGACATTTCCTTTTCGTCAACAACTTAATTTGTTTCGGTGGTTTGTGTTTGTGATGCCATATGTAAATTTCTCTTGGCGCTCGTACAAATGTTTTGCGTTTTGTAAATTGGAACAAAACAGTCACTCGCTTTCTCATGTGTCAGAACTGTATATCGCAGACCTACATGCGGATCATGACAAGGCGACCCAAAAAAAAAATCTTTTGTGACCCAGTCTTTAGGAAACAATGTCACTTAAAAAAAAACAACACCTCTAATATAAAAGCAATGCAGATTTAATCCACAGATGAGGTAAAATTATTATGTTTATCTTGTAATTCCAAATTGGCTTAAACAGGCCGATCAGAGTCAACCAAAAGGCCGTATGTGACCCGGGAGCTGGACAACACCCAGGTCTGGTCTAGACTGTTGAAAGTGTGACATTAAAGGTCCTATATTATGCAAAACTGACTCTTGTGAGCTTCAAGTCATGTTATAATGTTGTTATGTCATCAAAAACATATCTGGAGTTGTGTTTTGTTTCATTCACACATGTTTGAGTAATGCTTTCTTATTAGTCTGTCTATATATATCGTATGTCGTATATCGTATGCTCATATACGAGAGCTTTCAACATTGGCAGCATTTTCTAAAACTTTAAAACAGTGGTTGTTCAATGGTCAAATATGTCATGCCATGTTTAACCAATTCACATTTTCTTTTATTTTGAGGGGTTGTTGGTTTAACTTTTTGGTTTAACTCTTAAACTTTTGACTTTGAACTTCAAATGAACTATTTGAAACTAATTGTACATATAGCGAGTGTGTTGTGACTAGGGATGGGCATTTGATGAAATTCTCTTAATCGATCGTCGGAAGAATTAACGATCAATTATGGATTAATCATTAACGTCTTTTATATTAAAATGATCAT